TTTTGGTACTGTCCATATGTAGCTTGTTTTTGGTCGCAGGTCCAGGAATAGTTGAAGAAGTGAAACATTTACCTGGAGCTAACTCTGCAGCTAGCACTACTGGGTGATTTGAAAGGTCATAGTGTGCCAAGAGTGTGCAAAGCTGTCATCAAGGCAAAGGGTGGCTATTTGAAGAATCTCAAATATAAAATATAGTTTGATATATTTAACACTTTTTTGGTTACTACATGATTCCATATGTGTTGTTTCATAGTTTTGATGTCTTCACTATTATTCTACAATGTAGAAAATAGTAAAAATAAAGAAAAACCATTGAATGAGTAGGTGTGTCCAAACGTTTCACTGGTACTGTATATTTACAAAAATATATATGGGGGATTGGAAATGATGCAGACAATTACATTGATGGAAGCTACAATCTATCTGCAGTATTAAAGCTGATCTAACCCCTAAAAATATATACAGTGCTATGAAAAAGTATTTGCCCCTGTCACGATCGTTTAAAGACTGGTCGAACCAAGGCGCAGCGTGATAAGTGTACATGTTTATTAAACGAATAAACACACGACAAAACAACAAACAAACGATACGTGAAGTCATAAGGTACACACAACAAACCTATACGGAACAAGATCCCACAACTAACAGGTGCCAAAAGGCTGCCTAAGTATGGTCCCCAATCAGAGACAACGAGCGACAGCTGCCTCTGATTGGGAACCACCCCGGCCAACATAGAAATAGACATACCAGATACTACACCATAGAAACAACACAACACGGAATATACACACCCTGACTCAACAAATAAACGTACCCAGAGTCAGGGCGTGACAGTACCCCCCCCCCCAAAGGTGCGGACTCCGACCGCGCCACATAAACATAACAGGGTAGGGGCCGGGTGGGCATTCCGCCTCGGAGGCGGATCCTGCTCCGGGCGTGACCACCACTTTCTCTCCACCTCCCTGTTGCGCCCCTGGTTTGGTCTGGACCTCGGCGCACTGCTTCCCCTCTCCTTCCTCCCACGAAGTACCAAGCCCTGTCTGGACCCTGGTGTGGGAGACCCCGAACCTGGAGAGGGGCTGACGTCTGGGTCTGGACTGGAACCGCTGACTGGAGCTGGACCCGACGACGGTGGATCGAACTGCACAGGCTCCGGACTGGAGCCGCTGACCGGAGCTGGACTAGGCACCGGTGGAGCGGATTACTCTGGCTCCGGAGTGGAGCAGCTAACCGGAGCTGGATCAGGCACCGGGGGAGCGGACTGCTCTGGCTCCGGAGTGGAGCAGCTGACCGGTGCCGGACCAGGCACCGGTGGGACAGGCACGGGCCGTGCCGGACTGACACACGCACCACTGGCTTGGTGCGAGGAGCAGGAACAGGCCGGACCGGGCTGGCGACGCGCACCACTGGCTTGGTGCGAGGGGCAGGAACAGGCCAGGGCGGGCTGGCGACGCGCACCACTGGCTTGGTGCGAGGGACAGTAACAGGCCGGACCGGGCTGGCGACGCGCACCACTGGCTTGGTGCGAGGGACAGGAACAGGCCGGACCGGGCTGGCGACGCACACCACTGGCTTGGTGCGAGGGACAGGAACAGGCCGGGCCGGGCTGGCGACGCGCACCACTGGCTTGGTGCGAGGGGCAGGAACAGGCCGGACCGGGCTGGCGACGCGCACCACTGGCTTGGTGCGAAGGACAGGAACAGGCCGGGCCGGACTGGGAACACGCACCACTGGCTTGGTGCGGGGAGCAGGAACGGGCCGGGCCGGACTGGGAACACGCACCACTGGCTTGGTGCGGGGAGCAGGAACGGGCCGGGCCGGACTGGGAACACGCACCACTGGCTTGGTGCGGGGAGCAGGAACGGGCCGTACCGGACTGTGGAGGTGGACTGGAGGTCTGGAGCGGAGAGCTGACACAACCCGTCCTGGCTGGATGCCTACTTCCACACAATATGTGTGAGCCATTAGCACAGGACGTACGGGGCTGTGCACGCGTACTGGCGATACAGTACGTAGCACCGGTGCAGGATATACGGGACCGAGGAGGCGTACTGGAGACCACGAGCGTTGAGCCGGCACACCCTGTCCTGGCTGAATGCCCATCTTCGCACGACACGTGCGTGGTGCTAGCACAGGACGTACAGGACTGTGCCGGAACACTCGCAGCACAGTACGTAGCTCCGCATAACACGGAGCCTGCCCAGTCACACGCTTCCTTGCATGAGTACGGGGAGTTGGCTCTGCTCTAACACTAGGCTCCGCCAACCACCCTTTTAGCCCCCCCCCCCCCCCCCCCCCCCCCCCCCCCGAAATTTTTTTTTGGGGCTGTCTCTCGGGCTTCCTCCTCGGCCGGCACCTTCTGCGTTGCCGCTGCTCCTCTCTATAGCGTGCCTCCACCGTCTCCTCCCAAGGACGGCGATCCATTCCGGCCTGAATCTCCTCCCAAGTCCAGGATCCCTTCCCGTCCAGGATCTCCTCCCAGGTCCAGGCTGTCTGCTCCTGGACACGCTGCTTGGTCCTCATTTGGTGGGATCTTCTGTCACGATCGTTTAAAGACTGGTCGAACCAAGGCGCAGCGTGATAAGCGTACATGTTTATTAAACGAATAAACACACGACAAAACAACAAACAAACGATACGTGAAGTCTTAAGGCACACACAACAAACCTATACGGAACAAGATCCCACAACTAACAGGTGCCAAAAGGCTGCCTAAGTATGGTCCCAAATCAGAGACAACGAGCGACAGCTGCCTCTGATTGGGAACCACCCCGGCCAACATAGAAATAGACATACCAGATACTACACCATAGAAACAACACAACACGGAATACTGTCACGCCCTGACTCAGGGGACGTTTATTTGTTGAGTCAGGGTGTGTATATTCCGTGTTGTGTTGTTTCTATGGTGTAGTATCTGGTATGTCTATTTCTATGTTGGCCGGGGAACCATGTCGTCCAAAAAGTTATACTTTTCAATCATCTGTCCATAGAACGTTCTTCCAAGAGTCTTGATGATCATCCAAGTTTCTTTTTGGCAAACTTGAGTCAACTTTTTGGACGAGATGGGTCCCATTATGCCTGGCGAAAACCAAACACTGCATTCCACAGTAAGAACATCATACCAAAGTTCAAGCATGGTGGTGGTGATGGTTTGGTGTTGCTTTGGGGATGCTTTGCTGCCTCAGGACCTGGATGACTTGCCTTAATAGAAGGAACCATGAATTCTGCTCTGTATCAGAGAATTCTACAGGAGAATGTCAGACCATCCGTCTGTGAGCTGAAGCTGAAGCGCAGCTAGGTCATGCAGCAAGACAATGATCCAAAACACACAATCAAGTCTACATGAAAATTGCTAAAAAGCAACAAATTGGAAGTTTTGGAATGGCCTAGTCAAAGTTCAGACCTAATCCCAATTGAGATGTTGTGGCAGGACTTGAAACGAGCAGTTCATGCTTGAAAACCCACACGTCACTGAGTTAAAGCAGTTCTCCGTGGAAGAGTGGGCCAAAATTCCTCCACAGCGACGTGAGAGACTGATCAACAACTACAGGAAGCATTTGGTTGGAGTCATTGCAGCTAAAGGTGGCACAACCAGTTATTGAGTGTAAGGGGGCAATTACTTTTTCACACAGGGGAATTGGGTGTTGCATAACTTTGTTTATGAAATAAATGAAATAAATATGTAATTGTTGTGTTATTTGTTCACTTATGTTCCCTTTATCTACTATTAGGTTTTGGTTGAAGATCTGATAACATTCAGTATCACAAATATGTAAAAGTAGAGAAAATTAGAAAGGGGGCAAATACTTTTTCATAGCACTGTATATAATAATAATAAAATAAAACTTGTCATCTGCACACAGATACAGTGTTTCTGACCTCTAAGTGTTTCCAATATCTTCACAGTCACCTATAACAAACTGTTTTTTTTTAAACAAAGGAACATACTGTATATTGCAGCCCCACATCAGGCGCTATTGCTGACCATGGTCATTAACTTATGTTTATAAGACCACCAAAATTCACCATAAATGGAGAGACATCACATAAAGAAAAGATTCCAGCAGCACCCAGTTCACTGACAGACATACATTCTGCCACTAACAGTGACCGCAATGGCTGGTATTTTCTGTGAGATGTGTTTATTTTGTGGCAGGGGCGACGAACCAGAAAGAAGTAGACAAGAGGATAATTACATTTTAGTCATTTAGCAGACGCTCTTATCCAGAGCGACTTACAGTTAGTGAGTGCATACATTTTTCATACTGGTCCCCCGTGGGAATCGAACCCACAACCCTGGCGTTGCAAGCGCCATACTCTACCAACTGAGCTACAGGAGGCCTTCTGTATTACAGGGGTCAGTTTAATCTGCTAAATGATGTAAATGTAAATGTAAAGAGGCATTGAGTTTGTGTCTGGCTTATACATTCTCAATAAACCCTGCAAAGTGGCATTAAACTCAAAAGGATGAATCCCTCATTGTCAATAAATTCATCCTTTCTCTTTTTCTCTCACTCCATCTCTCTGACTCTCTCCCATATCAACATTTTTGTGTCATCTGTTTGGCCTTCTTTCTTTGTGTATGCCTATTTTCTCTCTGTTGCAATATCCCTCTTGCTCTACCCTTTCCATCCCTCCTCTTTTTCACACCCTACACACGTGCACACTTAATTTACTGCAGTGGGCTAAATCAGGGTCACACAGTGTTTCTTGGTAGTCTTAAACAAATCTACTTTGAAACAAAAGTATACACCTCACACACATGGTTATGGGCTTTAAAAAAAAGAAGACACCTGTACCATGTCACAAAACTGTTTGATATAGAATCACCAGATTTTTTGAAATAGTGTTTATTAATTATGAAATTGTGAAAGATATTAATAACATTCCACCCATGAGGCCACTAGGTCATTTGGCTGCATGAAAGGGGTCTACAGATGCATTTCCATAGTATTCAAACTGGACCCATTTAATCCACCACCACCCCTCCATCTTTCAGTGATTGACATGCTGGAGCTGCACGACGCCAAGCAGAGTGCGTCTGCGGTGGGGAAGATGTCGGGGGCTCTGGGCTTCGTGTCGGACCTGTACCTGGTGTCCACTCTGCGTCTGCCGCCCAAACTGGGAGGAGTGCTGCTGGGCGTCTACAACAAAGACGACAACAGGAAGTACCTGGAGGTGGCCCTTATGGGCAAGGTCAACAAAGGTAGGGATTGTCAGTAGAGGGGATAGGGAGGGAAATGTGGTAGATAGATATTTTGGTGAAGTTTAAGTTGTTTCTCTTCAAGGCCTATAACTAAGACACAGTCACCCAATCCCAATAGTGGGATTCCCCATTCGACCCCTAGCCTCTACCCCCTAGACACTTGTGGAGATCTGATAGGGTTGTATAGTTGCAAAACAATTAACAGTATGTTGTTGTTTTTTCATATGGCTCTCTCATTCAACACTGTTCTATGTAGGCTAGCTTCAATGATGTTCGGGGTTGCCTGATCTCTAAATTCTGGGTCCATACATGTTAAGAGAAGGGATTAAGATTATACTAGAACGAGGAGCTCCACCCTCTTTCTTTGCAAGTTATGGGCAAATTAATCTTGGTTACCTAGAAGTAAAATTATCTCGCAAAAGTTTGTAATTTCCTGTTTTACTTTTGGTGGGGAATACTGTTAACAATTGTGGTTACCTTTGTGCAAAGGAAGGAAGCGAAGTCTCCTCCCTCGCAAACTGAAACTCTCAGCCAAACCCCTCCCTTCTGCTAATTTCACCCTTGTTAATCTTGGGCAAAAATAAAAATAAATTGTTTTCATGAAATTGATCGATACAGCCAATTTTGACTTTGTGGCTGTGGAATGACGAAAACCCAAAACTAAGAACTACTAGATTCTCGCCGTTTTATCTGTCCACGAGAATCTGTCCAAGAGAGATTACGGGCAAGTCTATGTGTTGAATGTCCCCTCCTCTTCCGAAATTCGAAAGATGCTAACACCTGCAAAATCGTGATTTGTCCAAATAACCAGTGACGAAAACCCCCAACACAGGAACTACTGCTGCTCGTTATCCTACGCATCCCATTCCTTCCCGACAAATTCTATGGTACCAGTTATAATTACGTAGATCTGTCCACAAGAGATTACTTGATCTTAGAATCCTCTCTATTTCTTAGTTCTGGTGCGTTATGTACGAGAGGACGGTAAACTCCACACAGTGAACCTCCAGAACCCCGGCCTCTCCAACGGACGCACCCAGTCACTCATCCTCCGCGTGGGTGGGCTCCGACGAAACCACCTCCACATGGAACTCTATGTCAACTGCCGATTGGCCGACTCAGCACAGGTCCTACCGTCAATGGTCCAGCTCCCAGCAGAGGCGGAGTCTGTGGAGATACGCAATGGGCAGAAGGCCTATGCCAGGCTACAGGTAATAAAACAGTACTTTTTTTTTTTTTTTCTAAGTTTCCATCAGTCCTAGATTGAATTTAAAGATAGACTCAGCAATAAGAAATCATCATACACAGTGTGGCATCCTGCTTACAGAAGCAACAAAATTGAAATCTGGCCTATGCCTGCCACTATTGTCTCTTCCCAATGTGGACATGCCTCAAGGGAGTGCAATACTTGGGAAGAACAAATCGTTTTTGTGAAGCAGAAAGTGGCACGGCTGCAAATTGTCATATTGCTTAGTCTACCTCTATTTCTACAGAGCACGTTTCAGAGCATGCTCTCGGACTCAGGAAGTCTCTAATTGTACTTCCTAACTTAACAATTTTTACTACACTACTTCAACATGGTTGGCAGGAGTCTGGCAGATTAGTTTTTTTAAGACCAAAACAAATACAGGGAGTATTCCGGATCCCCATAGAAATCACCTAATTAGGTAATTAATTAGGCCATACAGTACATGAAACACAAACCCAGCCTGCCCACCATGATAGACACATTCTTAATTTTTCAAGTGTTGCTCATTTATGGTTGTTTTACATGCCTAATCTTCTATCCACAACTGACATCTATACCACTTAAGCAAATTGCCTAGATTTTGCATGACTAATAAGATGTCGTAGACATTAGTTATCGCAGGCAACTTAAAGTTGAGTGAACAACCAAATGTCTAGTATACTATGAGCACCTTTTCATCCAATACATGGAATAGAGCTGAGCTGCACATCCTATCTATCAGCTACATGTCTATGGCTCATGCTGAAGCTTACATGGAGAACTAGTTAGTTGTTACCATGTGGTGCTGTCAGCATAAATGACTATCTGACTGATAGATTCCACACTCCCTGTGGACAAAGAGAGGGCTGTGTCAGGATGGATGAAAGGGAGGGAAATATCTAAAATGAGAGGGTACACCAAAGCTATTGTTCCTAGTTTGTGTCATTTATCTTGAACGGGCCGCTTAGGTGACATGCATGCAAGTGTACACGGGTACTGACCAGGATCATGTTCACTAGGCATAAAACAGAAGGAAACGGTCCAAAGGGGAGTGAAACAGAGAGGTATTATCAGAACTTGTCCAATAAGAAAAAAATGTTTCCCGTTGCACAACGTTTTAATTATTTTTTGCCACGGTGTGCCCCAATGAACACAACCCAGAGCATGTGCCTCAATATGTCTAAGTAAGACCTGGGGTCATTGTTCCCTCTAAAAAAAAATGCCACTGAGCAAATTTCAGGTCTGCTGAGCGCAAACTTGAATATTGTGAAAATTCTGTGCAACTTCCAGCCGTGTTTACTGTGAACACTGATGCTGTACCCGCTTTAAGTTACAGTTATAACAGTGGCCAAGTAGGCTACTATGGCTATTTGATCATAATGTAAGCCTACCAGAGTGGCCTACCATCAAAAACAATGGAGAAAATGCATCCCATAACATTTTAACATGGAAATAGCTGTTCTATCATTCAGCCTACAGTAGCAGCCAATGTGTGGTGTTCAATGTAGGCCTACATTCCAGGAGAACTTTAAAAAACAATGCAGGGCTTGACATTAACCTGTTTATCCACTTGTCCTTCAGGCAAGGAGGTGACAGAAAATGTTGTTGTATTGTGTTTGATGCAAAAAAACACTTTACAAAATAAAATGCATTATTATTCCCATACCATTATTATTATTATTATTATTATTATTATTATTATTAAAGAGAATCAGACAAAAATTAATGCTACCCTATGCCTATTGGCTACTTATTCGCTTATTCAAGCCTGTCTCAAAATATAACAATGCCCCTTTAAGACATAAAAAAGCTCTTTACCTGACTCGTTTTTCAAAGATGGCTAGAAATGTACACATTTTGTGCACTTGTAGGATGTAATCACTCTCCCATTGCTGACCAGAAATGAATTATAACTGGGCTAATAACTGACTAACTACCAAAGAAGATTTTTTTAAATGTACACGTGGCTACATGCAGCTCTAGCTTTGATCTCAAAACAAGCGTCTCTACTCCCGACCGCTCGTGCTTGTCATGTTGCATTGAAAGTGGCAAATATTACGTTGATTCGATTACAATTTCCGCAGTAAAGGGAAATGTTAATAGCGTTAACTAACGGGGGAAAACACTAAATTGAGTGAAGTTCAATCTTGTGCTTCTCTGAACGGGCTGGTATTTCTTCTGTGCGGCAGTATATATGCCATTTAGCAGACGCTTTTAGTCCCAGGGGAGCTGCAGTCCCAGTGGAGCTGTAGAAAACATTGCCTGAGGTCGGTTGCATTAACATAGACTTAGGCATAGACATTGATTTAAAGTGGTAGTTTACTCCGAATACAAATTAGCATGAATTTCCACTTACCATGCCCCTTTGTGTAAGAGAGTTCATTAAGATTGCGCACACAATTTATAGCTGCAATATGTAACTTTTTAGGTGACCCGACCAAATTCACATTAAAATGTGAGTTATAGACCTGTCATTCTCATTGAAAGCAAGTTTAAGAAGCGGTAGAGCTGTTATATTTGTGCTATTTCTATGCTTCCCGTACTTAAGTTTAGTTTTTGCGTCTTGTACTTTTGGTTTTGTAGACCAGCTTCAAACAAAATATTTTTATAACTAGCCCAAGATAGACCAGAGCCTGTCGTTTCCAATGGAAGCAAAGGAATCATAGTGGTCAGAACAAGGAGGTGGGTAGAGCCAAGGACGAGCTAGTGATATCCTATTGGCGCGTTCTAGCATATATTTTTGCATATTTCCGTTAAGGAACGCCTACTCTGTGAAGTACACGCACAGATAGAACAATGAGACAGATATTTCACTGGATGTATAAATGTGATGATGAGAGGAAATATAGTGATGAGAGGAAGCCCAGTGGCTGGCAGTGGGAGAAGATGAATTTTGGCCGACTTTCTGCACATTTTCTCATCAATAAGAAATTTGATCTGTATACAGTTTTCTGTTTCCAAAACAATAATCTGTAACAAACAGAGTGGACTGCATTTTGTAGACTTACCCTTTGCGAAAGTTTCAAAAATTGTGCTGTTTATGAGTGCAATTGCACATGCGCACTTCACAGACTTTGTGTTCCCTTATGAAATATGCAAATAAATGATAGAACGCGGCAATAGGATCTCACTAGCTCGTGCTTGGCTCTGTCCACCTCCTTGCTTGTTCTGCCCAATATGATTAATTTGCTCCCATTGGAAACGACAGACTCTGGTCTATCTTGGGTTACTTATGAAAATCTTTGGTGCGCGTGTGCAATAACTCACTTCGCCCTTGCACTCCATCTAAACAACGCAATTTTCCGAAACTTTGGCAAAGGGTAAAGTCTACAAAACGCAGTCCACTCTGTTTGTTTCAGATTCTAGTTTTGGAAAACAGAAAACTGTATGGAGATCAAATGTTTCATTGATGAGAAAATGTGCAGAATGTCGGCCAAAATCCATCTTCTCCCACTGCCGGTCACTGGGCTTCCTCTCCTCACCATATTTGGTAGTGAGTGGAAACTCCAACCGGATGCTTCACATTTATACATCCAGTGAAATCACAGGAGGTTGGTGGCACCTTAATTGGGGAGAATGGGCTTGTGGTAATGGCTGGAGCGGAATAGGTGGAATGGTATCAAATGTGTTTGATGCCATTCCATTTGCTCCGTTCCAGACATTATTATGAGCCGTCCTCCCCTCAGCAGCCTCCAATGGGTGAAATATCTGGCTCATTGTTCTTTTGTGTTCAACATTTTTTTGGTTATGGAAAATATATTTCATAGCGGTTTAGATGGTACAACTATACTTACACTATACTTGCTTGTTTTGTCACATAAACTGAAATGAGGCATAGTGCATCTTTAACTCTACTGTGTGCATGTGTGTGTTTCAGGGCTCAGTGGACTCTCTGAAACTGGCTCTGGGTGGCTCCATAGCCAAAGCAGGAATCCTGACCGATTGTCCGTTTCAGGGTGATACATCTTTTCAGAATTCAGGTACAATCTTTGTATACAACCATAAACACATGCAAACGATCTTCATACTCATTTATTATAATGTTATATTCACTTTAGTCTCTGAAACGCAGACCTAAGAGCAACAGCACTAGGTCTGGGATTAATGATGGATTGTCATGGTAACTTCGAAAAGGTGTTCCAGGGAGGGTCCTCTTCAGACAGACAACTCTCCAAACAAATCACAAGGAAGAAGTTTGCAGGCAAAACCATTGTGGTGGTTTTAGTGAAGGTAGTTGATTCAGACTAGCCACTTGCGAAATGCACTCATTAAAAATTACCTCTATGATCGCTATCTTGCTAGCTACTATTTGTATCAGGGGGATGTTTAAGCTAGGGCAACAAGTGGATAAGGCAGTGATGTAGGAAAGCCGGATGTCCCAACTCCACCATTTCCTCTATGCCAAACTGACATTTATTACGTACAGAAGTGTAAGCCAGAACATTGGTACATTGTGGGAGGCAACCCGTCTATATAGAGAGACTGTTCACTTTGATATCTGCTGATATATATTTCCATCCACATCCTCCTACCCAAACCTCACCTTAGGCAATTTGTCAGTTAGCTCTATCAGTCCCGAGATCCCATCAAAAATCGGCTTTTCATTTATCTGACTTTAATTTCTCTGCATATCCAGCCCTTATATTTAACCTCACAATAAAGTGTTTTACAAGTACAAATAGAACACAATATTTGACATAAACAGTTGCATTCATGAAAAGTTTGCCAAAGCAAAAACCTGACAAAAATAAATGTATATGACTTCTGTAAGTACAGAAATTATTTGCTCACTGGGAAATTAATATCCAACTAGTCAGTAACAACTGTGTGGAGTTTTGAGTTTGCGACAGCAACTATGTGAGCTTATTATAGTATTATAGACACTATGTCCTGGGATTTCCAATTATCTTCTATGTAGAAGAACCCCTACCTTCTAACGACTCTTGTGTAGCTTGTGAGCGTCATAGAGCAAAACATATACACTAGTTGCAAACAAAAAGCCATATCTCAGACTGGCCAATAAAAATAAAAGATTAAGGCCAGTCTGAGATATGGCTTTTTCTTTGCAACTCTGCCTAGAAGGTCAGCATCCCGGAGTCGCCTCTTCACTGTTGACGTTGAGACTGGTGTTTTGCGGGTACTATTTCATGAAGCTGCCAGTTGAGGACCTGTGAGGTATCTGTTTCTCAAACTAGACACTCTAATGTATTTGTCATCTTGCTCAGTTGTGCACCGGGGCCTCCCACTCCTCTTTCTATTCTGGTTAGAGCCAGTTTGCACTGTTCTGTGAAGGGAGTAGTACACAGCGTTGTACGAGATCTTCAGTTTCTTGGCAATTTCTCGCATGGAATAGCCTTCATTTCTCAGAACAAGAATAGACTGACGGGTTTCAGAAGAAAGTTATTTGTTTCTGGCCATTTTGAGCCTGTAATCGAACCCACAATTGCTGATGCTCCAGATACTCAACTAGTCTCAAGAAGGCCAGTTTTATTGCTTCTTTAATCAGCACAACAGTTTTCAGCTGTGCTAACATAATTGCAAAAGGGTTTTCTAATGATCAATTAGACTTTTAAAACGATCAACTTGGATTAGCAAACACAACGTGCCATTGTAACACAGGACTGATGGTTGCTGATAATGGGCCTCTGTACCCCTATGTAGATATTCCATTAAAAATCAGCCATTTCCTGCTACAATAGCCATTTACAACATTAACAATGTCTACACTGTATTTTTGATCAATTTGATGTTATTTTTAATGGACAAAAAAAATGCTTTTCTTTCGAAAACAAGGACATTTCTAAGTGACCCCAAACTTTTGAACGGTAGTGTACATGTTCGTGAGACTCTCAGCTTTTCATAGATAGCTTTTAATAGTTTGTAACTCAAACCATTCAGACGTTTTGTATAAAAGACCCGGCCCCGGGCTCCTTCAGAATCCGCCCCAGAAGTCTGTAGCTCAAACACACAAAGTTTAAAAGGGGTTAGAAGTCCAAAACGTGCTGGCAATATGGTGGGACTCATTGGGTTAACAGAAGCTGATCTCAGTACTGTATTCTTATCACTTTAACCCCCGCTAGTGGTGAGCCCACGTAACTAACATATACATGTCAAATTGGTTGTTCTTTTTTCATCTCATTACAAATTGGTTGTCCTCCTTTCTATCTTCAGCATGACCATTTGAATGCCAGGGATGTTTACAGGTAGTAGTTAATGTATGTGAGAGGCATTGTTAGGAATAGTATATCAAGATAACTAGACTGTGTTGTGATTGAATTGATTAAAGTGGACTTTTCTGTCTCCATAGCTGGCGCCGATGTTAATGCCATTCTTGGTGAGTATCAATCAGAAACACTCTGGTTTATCAACCTATAATTTACTTTAAATGTTTCCCTGTGCTTATGTTCTAATGGTTGGACATCTCTGTGTCAGGTGACCATACCAAGGCTTTGATTGGCCAGCTGATCATCTTCAACCAAATCCTGGGCGAACTCCGAGAGGACATCAGGGAACAGGTAAGAGAGCGAGAGAGGGGGGAGGGGGAAAGAGGCACAGGAGGAAGTGACAGAGGGGGAATGAAAGCGAGAGAGGGGAATTGTGTGCTCACATACACAAGAACATAACTGCTTGAGAGATGGCAGTGTTCTATAGCAGTTGTCTTCAACCTTTTCTTCCCCAGGGACCCCCTCCCAGGCAAACCGGCGACACAGAGACCCCCATCACACTTAACGAGTGTGTGTGGGGGGGGGGGGGGGGGGGTTAGAAGGATTACTTTTATACTATCCCAGGTATTCCTTAAAGAGGTAGGGTTTCAAGTGTCTCCGGAAGGTGGTCAGTGACTCCGCTGTCCTGGCGTCGTGAGGGAGCTTGTTCCACCATTGGGGTGTCAGAGCAGCGAACAGTTTTGACTGGGCTGAGCGGGAACTGTGCTTCTGCAGAGGTAGGGGGACCAGCAGGCCAGAGGTGGAAGAACGCAATGCCCTCGTTTGGGTGTAGGGACTGATCAGAGCCTGAAGGTAATGAGGTGCCGTTCCCCTCACAGCTCCGTAGGCAAGCACGATGGTCTTCTAGCAGATGCGAGCTTCAACTGGAAGCCAGTGGAATGTGCGGAGGAGCGGGGTGACGTGAGAGAACTTGGGAAGGTTGAACACCAGACGGGCTGCAGCGTTCTGAATGAGTTGTAGGGGTTTAATGGCACAGGCAGGGAGCCCAGCCAACAGCGAGTTGCAGTAATCCAGACGGGAGATGACAAGTGCCTGGATTAGGACCTGTGCCACTTCCTGTGTAAGGTAGGGTTGTACTCTGCGGATGTTGTAGAGCATGAACCTACAGGATCGGGTCACCGCTTTGATGTTAGCGGAGAACGACAGGGTGTTGTCCAGGGTCACGCCAAGGTTCTTTGCACTCTGGGAGGAGGACACAACGGAGTTGTCAACCGTGATTCATTATTCATTAAATAAACATACATTTTCCATGTGCGGACCCCCTACAGTACCTTCCCATGGTTGAATGCCCCTGTTCGATAGAGTAACTACAGTATACAATACCAGTCAAAAGTTTGGACACACCTACTCATTCAAGGGTTTTTCTTTATTTTTACTATTTTTTACATTGTATAATAATAGTGTGTCACGGCTGTCGGTGAGATGCGGTTGAAGAAGTCAGGCGCAGGACACAGAACTCTCGGACACGTACTTTAATCCGATAATGACCATATGAACACAGAAATAACTCCACGCAGGGAGGAAATAACCCGCTCACTAATGACATACGTGAAGGGAAAACAATCACACACAATGTCCTGATGAGAGACAGGGGTAATATAAGGGAAACAATCAAACATAATGACGAACAGGTGTAAACAATACAGACAAAACTAAACAGACACCGATAACATCGAACGGCAGTAGCTAGTACTCCGGGGACGACGAACGCCGATGCCTGCCCGAGCAAGGAGGAGGCGCAGCCTCGGCAGAATCCGTGACAGTACCCCCCCCTTGACGCGCGGCTCCAGCCGTGTGCCGACCCCGGCCTCGGGGACGGCCAGGAGGACGCGGAGCAGGGCAAGTCGGATGACTCCGGTGGAACTCTGTCAACAGGGAGGGATCTAGGATGTCCCTCCTAGGGACCCAGCACTGTTCCTCCGGACCGTACCCCTCCCACTCCACGAGATACTGCAGACCCCCCATCCGACGCCTCGAATCCACGATGGAACGGACTGAGTACGCCGGAGCCCCTTCGATGTCTAGTGGGGGCGGAGGGGCCTCTCATACCTCATTCTCCTGGAGTGGACCAGCTACCACCGGCCTGAGGAGAGACACATGGAACGAGGGGTTAATGCGATAATTAATAGGCAGCTTTAACCTATAACATACCTCGTTCAATCTTCTCAGGACTTTAAATGGCCCCACAAACCACCGGCCCAGCTTCCGGCAGGGCAGGTGAAGGGGCAGGTTTCTGGTCGAGAGCCAGACCCGATCTCCCGGTGCATAAACCGGACCCTCACTGCGGTGGCGATCGGCGCTCACCTTTTGCCGTCTGATGGCCCGCTGCAGATGGATGTGCTCAGCGTTCCATGTCTCCTCCGAGCGCCGAAACCATTCATCCACCGCAGGAGCCTCGATCTGGCTCTGATGCCAGGGTGCCAGAACCGGCTGATAGCCCAACACACACGGGAAAGGAGTAAGATTAGTGGAGGAGTGGCGGAGTGAGTTTTGGGCTATCTCTGCCCAGGGAATATACCCCGACCACTCCTCCTGCCGGTCCTGGCAGTAGGACCTCAGAAACCTACCCACATCTTGGTTTACTCTCTCCACCTGCCCATTACTCTCAGGGTGAAAACCCGAGGTAAGGCTGATCGAGACCCCCAAACATTCCATAAACGCCCTCCACACTCTAGAGGTGAACTGGGGACCCCGATCAGACACTATATCCTCAGGCACCCCGTAGTGCCGGAAAACGTGAGTAAACAGGGCTTCGGCCGTTTGTAGGGCTGTAGGAAGACCTGGCATAGGGATGAGACGGCAGGCCTTAGAAAACCGATCCACAACGACCAAGATTGTGGTATTCCCCTGGGAGGGGGGAAGGTCTGTGACAAAATCCACCGACAGGAGAGACCACGGCCATTGTGGAACGGGTAGAGGTTGTAACTTCCCTCTGGGCAGGTGTCTAGGCGCCTTACACTGGGAGCACACCGAGCAGGAAGAAATGTAAACCCTCACGTCCCTGGCTAAGGTGGGCCACCAGTACTTCCCGCTAAGACAGTGCACTGTCCGACCAATACCAGGATGACCAGAGGAGGGTGACGTGTGAGCCCAATAAATCAGTCGGTCACGGACCTTGAGCGGTACGTACCTCCGTCCCTCTGGACACTCTGGGGGAGAAGGGTCGGTACGTAACGCCCGCTCGATTTCCGTGTCGACCTCCCACACCACCGGTGCCACGAGACAAGACTCCGATAGTATGGGAGTGGGCTCAATGGACCTCTCCTCTGTGTCATATCGTCGGGACAGGGCGTCTGCCTTAACGTTCTGTGACCCTGGGATATACGTGATCTTAAATACAAACCGGGCAAGGAACATGGCCCACCTAGCCTGACGAGGGTTCAGTCTCTTCGCTGCCCGGATGTACTCCAGGTTATGATGGTCAGTCAGAATGAGAAAAGGGTGGTTAGCCCCCTCAAGCCAATGTCTCCACACCTTCAGGGCTTGGACCACAGCTAGCAGCTCCCTGTCCCCCACGTCATAATTGCGTTCCGCCGGACTGAGCTTCTTGGAATAGAAAGCACAGGGGCGGAGTTTTGGAGGCGTGCCCGAGCGCTGAGACAGTATAGCACCGATCCCCGCCTCGGACGCATCCACCTCGACTTGGAACGCCAAAGAGGGATCCGGAAGTGCCAGCACCGGAGCTGAGGTGAACAGGTCCTTCAAATGACTAAACGCCCTGTCCGCCTCAGCCGACCACTGCAAACGCACCGGGCCCCCCTTTAGCAGGGAGGTAATGGGAGCTGCTACCTGTCCAAAACCCCGGATAAACCTCCGGTAGTAATTGGCAAAACCCAAAAAACGCTGCACCTCCTTTACTGTAGTTGGAGTCTGCCAATTACGCACGGCTGAAACGCGGTCAATCTCCATCTCCACCCCTGACGCAGACAACCGGTGTCCCAGGAAGGAGATGGACTCCTGGAAAAACAGACATTTCTCTGCCTTCACATACAGATCATGCTCCAACAGTCTACCCAGCACCCGACATACCAGGGACACATGCTCGGTACGTGTAGCGGAGTATATCAGAATGTCATCAATATACACCACTACCCCCTGTCCATGCAAATCCCGGAAAATCTCGTCTACAAATGATTGGAAGACTGAAGGAGCATTCATTAGACCGTATGGCATGACGAGGTACTCATAGTGACCCGAGGTGGTACTGAATGCTGTCTTCCACTCATCTCCTTCCCGAATGCGCACCAGGTTGTAAGCGCTCCTGAGATCCAATTTTGTGAAGAAGCGCGCCCCGTGTAATGACTCCGTCATACTAGCCATCAGAGGGAGAGGATAGCTGTATTTAATAGTGATCTGATTGAGACCACGGTAATCAATACACGGGCGTAAACCCCCATCCCTTCTTCTTCACTCGAGGACGCAGGAGAAGTGGACGGCCGTATGTATTCCTGTCTCAAGGATTCGGTGACGTATGTCTCCATAGCAGCCGTCTCCTCCTGAGACAGAGGATACACATGGCTGCGAGGGAGCGCAGCGCCAACCTGGAGGTCTATCGCACAATCCCCCTGTCGATGAGGTGGTAATTGAGTCGCCTTCTTCTTACAGAAGGCGCGTGCCAAATCGGCATACTCAGGAGGAATGTGCATTGTGGGCATTTGGTTCGGACTCTCCACCGTCGTTGCCCCTACGGAAACACCTACACACCGCCCCACACACTGATCAGACCATCCCTTGAGAGCCCTCTGTTGCCATGAAATGTTGGGGTCATGAGATGTTAACCAGGGAAGCCCCAACACCACTGGAAACGCAGGAGAGTCAATTAAATACAACTGTATAGTCTCCTCATGACCCTTCTGCGTTTTCATCTTCAGTGGCGCTGTGACCTCCCTAATCAATCCCGACCCCAAAGGCCGGCTATCTAGGGCATGGATAGGGAAGGGCACATCGACTGGTAATATAGGGATTCCTAACTTATATGAGAAATGGCGATCGATAAAATTCCCAGCTGCGCCTGAATCGACTAGCGCCTTATGCTGGGAGTAAGAAGAAACTTCTGGAAACACAACTTGAATACACATATGAACAACAGAGAGCTCTGGGTGAGTTGGGGCCTTACTCACCGGGAATGACTCATCCGTGCGTTGCCTGCTGCCTCGAATCCTAGGAGACCCTCCCCAGCACCGAACCGCCGTGTGTCCTCGGCGGCCACAGTTGGTGCAGGGGACAGCCTCCTTCCTGGCCTCCCTACTACCAGCACCACCAAGCTCCATAGGGCTCGGCTCGGAGGTGCTGGGGGATGGAATGGATGGCCCCAGCGCCGGACGTCCGCGGGTAGCCAACAGGGTATCCAGGCGAATCGACATGTCCACCAGCTGATCGAAGCTTAGGTTGGTGTCCCTGCAGGCCAACTCTCGACGAACGTCCTCTCTTAAGCTACACCTGTAGTGGTCGATGAGGGCCCTCTCATTCCATCCCGAATTGGCAGCCAGAGTCCGGAAGTCCAGTGCGAATACCTGGGTGCTCCTCCTCCCCTGTCTGAGGTGGAATAGACGCTCACCCGCCGCCTTCCCCTCCGGGGGATGATCGAACACTGCCCTGAAGCGGCGGGTGAACTCCGCATAGTTCACAGTAGCGGCGTCTATCCCTCCCCACTCGGTGTTGGCCCACTCCAGTGCCTTGCCGGACAGACAGGAGATGAGGGCGGACACACTCTCGTATCCCGAGGGTGCCGGGTGAATGGTTGCCAGGTAAAGTTCCACCTGGAGCAGGAAACCCTAACACCCGGCTGCGGTGCCATCATAAGCCCTCGGGAGCGAGAGCCGAATCCCACTGGACTCCGGATGTGAGACGATAGGAGTAGCCGATGGTGGTGGTATCGTTCGAGGAGGTGTGGGCAAACCTCCTCTCTCCCATCGTCCCAAAGTGTTCATCACGTTATCCATGGCGGCACCAAGATTTTGAAGCATCGCTGCCTGTTGTAGGACGCTCTCCTCGAGTGATCCGGTCGGTGCCGTCGCTCCTGCTGACTCCATGTTGTGGTGTGTGATTCTGTCACGGCTGTCGGTGAGATGCGGTTGAAGAAGTCAGGCGCAGGACACAGAACTCTCGGACACGTACTTTAATCCGATAATGACCATATGAACACAGAAATAACTCCACGCAGGGAGGAAATAACCCGCTCACTAATGACATACGTGAAGGGAAAACAATCACACACAATGTCCTGATGAGAGACAGGGGTAATATAAAGGAAACAATCAAACATAATGACGAACAGGTGTAAACAATACAGACAAAACTAAACAGACACCGATAACATCGAACGGCAGAATCCGTGACATAGTGAAGACATCAAAACTATGAAATAACACATATGCAATCATGTAGTAACCAAAAAAGTGTTAAACAAATCAAAATATATTTTATATTTGAGATTCTTCAAATAGCCACCCTTTGCCTTGATGACAGCTTTGCACATTCTTGGCAGTTCTCTCAACCAGCTTCATGAGGTAGTCACCTGGAATGCATTTCAATTAACAGGTCTGCCTTAATAGTTAATTTGTGGAATTTGTTTCCTTCTTAATGTGTTTGAGCCAATAAGTTGTGTTGTGACAAGGTAGGGGGGGTATAGAGAAGATAGCCCTATTTGGTAAAATACCAAGTTCATATTATAGCAAGAACAGCTGAAATAAGCAGAAACTTATAAAGTTTCTTCATGTGCAGTCGCAAAAACCATCAAGCGCTATGACGAAACTGGCTCTCATGAGGACCAAAGAAACCACTACTAAAGGACACCAATAATAAGAAGAGACTTGCTTGGGCCAAGAAACACGAGCAATGGACATTAGACCGGTGGAAATGTGTCCTTTGGTCTGGAGTCCAAATTGGAGATTTCTGGTTCCAACCGCCGTGTCTTTGTGAGACGCGGTGTGGGTAAACGGATGATCTCCGCATGTGTATTTCCCACTGTAAAGCATGGAGGAGGAGGTGTTATGGTGTGGGGGTGCTTTGCTGGTGACACTGTCTGTGATTTTATTTAGAATTCAAGGCACACTTAACCAGCATGGCTACCACAGCATTCTGCAGCGATACGTCATCCCATCTGGTTTGGACAATGACCCAACACACCTCCAGGCTGTGTAAGGGCTATTTTACCAAGAAGGAGAGTGATGGAGTGCTGCATCAGATGACCTGGCCTCCACAATCCCCCAACCTCAACCCATTTTAGATGGTTTGGGATGAGTCGGACCGCGTAGTGAAGGAAAAGCAGCCAACAAGTGCTCAGAATATGTGGGAACTCCTTCAAGACTGTTGGAAAAGCATTCCAGGTGAAGCTGGTTGAGAGAATGCCAAGAGTGTGCAAAGCTGTCATCAAGGCAAAGGATGTCTATTTGAAGAATCTAAATATAAAATATATTTTGATTTGTTTAACACTTTTTTGGTTACTACATGATTCCATTTGTGTTATTTCATAGTTTTGATGTCTTCACTATTATTCTACAATGTAGAAAATAGTAAAAAATAAAGAAAAACCCTTGAATGAGTAGGTGTGTCCAAACTTTTGACTGCTACTGTACATACAAATACAGTTGAATAATTGAAACATTTCTGGTTACTGCTGTATGTTTGTGATCTTCACAGGTGAAGGAGATGTCTCTGATTAGGAACACCATCCTGGAGTGCCAAGCGTGTGGTGAGTGCTTGAAGAGCAGTACTATACCATCAGGTTGGGCCTCAGTGTATGAAACAGAGGGGATAAGATAAAATAAAGAAAAGATAAACAAAAAGAGATGAGAAGCACAGGAAATCAACGGAGAGATAGATTGAAATCTATGAAATCCTTTAGCTGTGTTTGATTGGTCTTGCCTGGCGCAATGCAACCAATGGAAAAGTCCCTTAAAGGGGCAATTCACAGTTAAAAGGAGTTTTCCCCGCCACTGTTTCGTTAAAAAGCTGAGGGATGGGGCTGGAGAAATGTAACCACTCAAATTCATAGACAGAGCTATGGATGGAAGGACTGACCATCCATGATGTCAAAATTATAGTTTTAACTATATTTTGACGCTACAGTTTTTGTTTACATTTACTTTGTTTACAAACATTGGAGTAACACAAGCTTATATTTTGGGTTCTGATGGGAGATGACAGTTGAACTAAGCTCATGAGGCATTTATAAGTGCTGTTCTTCAAGAATCAATGGGTACATAATCATTAATTTATATGTAAAGAAATGTGCAAACCCTGCCCATATGGCACTCTGTGCAGGCTCGAAGGTATGCTGAATGAACAATTTCTAATCCTATTTTGAACCCAGGTCTGGTATGTTCTATGTCTTTGTTAACCAGGCTTCCACGAGCCCCACTCTCGCTGCGAGCCCAACCCCTGCTATAAGGGCGTGCCCTGTACAGAGACCCGGGAGTACCCAGGGTACCGTTGTGGTGCCTGCCCAGACGCCATGACGGGGAATGGCACCCACTGCCAGGACATCGACGAGGTATTCTAAGGGTCCTATTTCAATTTCTTTAGCACCAAAAGATGATAGCATGACAAGTTCCCATAATTTCCTTAACATTATTGGGTGAGTTTCCCAAAAGCTTTGTAGCTAAGGTGGCACGTTATTTCTCTCGACAACCCAGCTGCACAGCTGCAAGAGAGTAACAATTAGAAAATTCATGTTTGGCAGCCAGTCTTCCTCAAGTGAAGCACGTTGCAGTGTTAAAAAAACACGAATACAATGACATTTGTATTGTTACGTTCTGTTTCTCTCTGTGTCTCTGTCTCTATGTCTAAGTGTGCTCTAGCCCGGCCCTGTTTCTCACCCGAGGGGTGCGTAAACACGGTCAAGGGCTTCACCTGTGAACCCTGTCCCGTCGGCTTCTCAGGATCCCTCCTCAGTGGGATTGGGGTGGAGTTTGCCAAGAGCCACAAGCAGGTCTGACCAACATGAGACCCCCTGCCTCTCACATACCCACTCACACACACACACACACACATAAACATTGTGCAAACACACATCAATTGTGCACATACACAAGATACTCACACATTCACACGCACACGGGAGCCTTGCACATGCATGGCATGCTCACACATCACCACCATCACTATTGACACCTCTTCTCACCCACTGTACACATGGATGCAAAGTGATTGCCTCTATGGCCATGATGATACAATGGGTGGTCTGACATTTCTTGTCCTTAAATTGTTGCGTTTTGTCTGTTTCTGTAGGAGTGTGCAGATGTGGATGAGTGTGCTGACCTCTCCAACACCTGCGTCCCCAACTCTGTCTGCATCAACACAGAGGTCAGTAGTGGAAAGGGAGTCAGAGGTTTCTAGATGAAAGACTTAACAATTAAAGAAATACATGATTTTCTTTCTCTGTGTCACTGTGTCTCTTCCCTCCTCTCTCTCCCCTCCTCTCTCTCTTCCCTCCTCTATTCTCCCTTCTTTTTTTTTCTCCCCCCTTCCCCCCCTTTTCCCCCTTTTTCCCCCCTTTTTTCCCCCCCCCTTTTTTCCCCCCTTTCCCTTTTTTTTTCCCCCCCCTTTCCCCTGTTTTTTTTTTTTTTTCCCCCCCCCCCCCTTTCCCCCCCTCCTCTTTTCCCCCCCCCCTTTTTTTCCCCCCTTTTTTTTCCCCCCCCCCCCTTAAAATTTCCCCCCTCCCCCCCCCCCTTTTTCCCCTTTCTTCCCTCCCTTCCCTTCCCCCCCTTTTTCCCCTTTTCCCCCTCTTTCCCCCCTTTTTCCCCCCCCCTTTTTCCCCCCCCTTTTTTTTCCTTTTTTCCTTTTTTTCCCCCCCCTTTTTTTTTTCCCCCTCCCCCCTCCCCCTTTTCCCCTTTCCCCCCCCTTTTTTCCCCCCCCTTTTTTTTCCCCTTTTCCCCCCCCCCCCCCCCCCCCCCCCCCCCCCCCCCCCCCCCCCCCCCCCCCCCCCCCCCCCCCCTTTTTTTTTTTTTTTTTTTCCCCCCCTTTTTTTTTTTTTTTTTTTTTTTTTTTTTTTGGGGGGCCCCCCCCCCCCCCCCCCCCCCCCCCCCCCCCCCCCCCCCCCCCCCCCAAAAAAAAATTTTTTTTTCCCCCCCCGCCCCCCCCCTTTTTTTTTTTTTTTTGGGGGGGAGGGGGGGGGTTTTTTTTTTTTTTTTTTTTTTTTTTTTTTTTTTTTTTTTTTCCCCCCCCCCCCCCCCCCCCCCCCTTTTTTTTTTCCCCCCCCCCTTTTTTTCCCCCCCCCCCCCCCCCCCCCCCCCCCCCCGGGGGGAAAAAAAAAACCCCCCCCCCCCCCCCCCCCCCCCCCCCCCCCCCCCCCCCCCCCCCCCCCCCGGGGGGGGGGCCCCCCCCCCCCCCCCCCCCCCCCCCCCTTTTTCTTTTTTTTTTTTTTAAAAAAAAAAAACCCCCCCCCCCCTTTTTTTTTTTTTTTTTTTTTTTTTTTTTTTTTTTTTTTTCCCCCCCCCCCCCCTTTTTTTTCCCCCCCTTTTTCCCCCCCCCCCCCCTTTTTCCCCCCCCCCCCCCCCCGCCCCCCCCCCAAACCCCCCCCCCCCCCCAAAAAAACCCCCCCCCCCCCCCCCCCCCCCCCCCCCCCCCCCCCCCCCCCCCCCCCCTTTTTTTTTTTTTTTTTTTCCCCCCCCCCCCCCCCCCCCCGCCCCCCCCCCCCCCCCCCCCCCCCCCCCCCCCCCCCCCCCCCCCCCCCCCTTTTTTTTTTTTTTCCCCCCCCCCCACCCCCCCCCCCCCCCCCCCCCCCCCCCCCCCCCCCCCCCCCCCCCCCTTTTTTTTTTTTTTTTTTTTTTTTTCCCCCCCCCCCCCCCCCCCCCCCCCCCCCCCAAAAAATTTTTTTCCCCCCCACCCCCCCCCCCCCCCCCCCCTTTTTAAAAATTTTTTTTCCCCCCCCCCCCCCCCCCCCCCCCCCCCCCCCCCCAAAAAAAAAAACCCCCCCCCCTTTGGCCCCCCCCCCCCCCCTTTCCCCCCCCCTTCTTCGTCTTCCCTCTATCTCTCTCCTCCTCCTCTCTCTTCCTGCGACCCTCCTCTCGTCTTCCGTCTCCTCTCTACTCCCCTCCCTCTCCTCTTCCTCTCTTTCTCTCTTCCCTCCCTCTCCCCTCCCTCTCTCTCCCCTTCTGTCTCCCCCCAACTCCCTCCGCCATCTCTCCCCCCCCCCCCCCCTCCCCCCTCAGGGCTCATTCAGGTGTGGTCTGTGTAAGGAGAGCTTTGTGGGCAACCAGACGGTGGGCTGTTTCCTGCGGAGGTCCTGCGCCACACTGGGCTTCAACCCCTGCGACGTCAACGCCCACTGCGTCATCAAGGGAGCTGCCGAGGTCTCCTGCAAGGTAAGACACACATAGCACATCTCAATAGGCTAAAAAAAAGGAGGTTGTTAAAGGGATAGTTCACCCAAATTACAAAATGACACATTGGTTTCCTTACCCTGTAAGCAGTGTATGGATAGTGTATGCTTTGGTTTAGTTTCCACATGCTAATGGTTTAGCATTTGTGGCACAAATCCCATTCAAGTCATGGGACTGAAATTAAAATGTTTCGTGCATCATGTCCAAATCATCCAAAAGTATCTCAAATTGATTGTGAAGCTCAACAAAGTCACTTATAAATTATTTGAACATGATGCACGAAAAATGCTAATGTCAGTCCCATGATTTGAATGAGATTTGAGCCACAAATGCTAAAACGTTAGCATTTGGAAACAGTACCAGGGAAACTAAACCAAAGCATGGATTGCTGTCATACCTTGTCCATACACTGCTTACATGGTAACGAAACCAACATGCCATTTTGTAATTTGGGTGAACTATCTCTTAACCAAAATATGACATATTTCCCAAACGTATTGTCATGGAAAAGACGTCTTTATCTGTTTGTTAACAGAGACCAGTTGGTTGTAATCTGGCTATACAGTATGACATCATTAAGAAATCATGTTCCAATTTTCTACTACTTGGTATATTCTCTCTGAATATCTCTTCCAGTGTAACGTGGGCTGGGCAGGAAATGGGTATACGTGTGGTCCAGACACAGACATCGACGGCTACCCCGACCAGCCTCTCCCCTGCATAGACAATGACTATCACTGCCGAGCCGTAAGCATGTTCCACACACACACACACACACACACACACACACACACACACACACACACACACACACACACACACACACTAACAAAATGTCTTACTTACCATAAAAATGATGTGTTGTGTTCCCTGTGCAGGACAACTGTGTGAACACACCCAACTCTGGCCAGGAGGACGCAGACGGAGACGGTATAGGTAACCAGTGTGACGTAGATGCGGACGGAGACGGAATCAAGAACGTTGAGGTCAGTCGAGCCTTGTATTCTGTCGGTGCGGGGTCATGTTCAGTAGGCAAAACGGAATCTCCCTGACTCCACTTCCCACCATTTTGTATTTCCTCTTTGTTTTTCTAGGACAACTGCCGTCTGGTCCCCAACAAGGATCAACAGAACTCGGACACAGACTCGTATGGGGACGCGTGTGACAACTGCCCCAATGTTCCCAACAGCAGCCAGAAGGACACCGATGGAAACGGGGCTGGGGACACCTGTGACAATGACATTGATGGGGATGGTAGGCTATGGATCGCTTATGACAGGGCTATTCAATTACTGTCCCACAAGGACCAAAGTACTGCTGGGGTTTTTTCCCCACCTGGTAGTTAATTGATTGATACATTTTATTGATTGTGTTCCTTGTCTGATTTAGTTCCTGATTAGAGGGAGAGAATGGAAAACCGGTGTTTATATAGGATCACTTTTGCCTTTCAGATCATAATGAATAAGAGTATATGAACTGGGAGGACTTAATCCTAGATCATCAGCACTCTTCCTCTGAGACGCTTTGTGAATACGGGCCCAAGACTGTAATTTAATCGCTCATCTTCCTCCTCAACTCGCCAGGTATCCCAAACGTGCTGGACAACTGTCCCAAGGTGCCCAACCCTATGCAGACGGACCGTGACGGGGACGGAGTGGGAGACGCCTGTGACAGCTGCCCAGAAGTCAACGACCCCTTGCAGGTCAGAGGTCAAGAATACAATTTACGAGATTGACGCTGAAATAAAATATAGTTTATTGAGGAAATCTTTGAAACCTCTTTTCTCCATTCAGTTGGACATGGACAACGACCTGGTGGGAGATGTGTGTGACACCAACCAGGATATGTGAGTGATCCTACTAGTTTTCTGGTTTAGGGGACTTCAGAACCAGATAACAACCAGGTAAAGGGGTTCTTTTTGGGTTGTTATCTGGTTATATCACCAGATGATAACCAGGCTGAACCAGGTAAAGCTGTCTTTTTCTTGTCGCTAAAAATATATGTAAAATACATAAGTATACAAACTGACGTCAAAAAAATACATCAGGCTGACATCATTGCAACCAATCTTGCCTGCTGGGTCAATGAGCCTGTTTCTAATGTTTCTGTCTTGTCCTCATGTGTCAAGGGATGGGGACGGCCACCAGGACTCCAGGGACAACTGTCCAGACGTCCCTAACAGCTCCCAGCTGGACTCAGACAATGATGGCATCGGCGACGAATGCGACGATGACGATGACAACGATGGCATTCCAGATGCGAGACCTCCCGGGCCGGATAACTGCCGTCTCATCCCCAACCCCAGCCAGACAGACACTGACAGTATGGAAGGAGTCACAGGGAAAGAAATGCTTTGTAGCACAGTCTTAACAGGATTAAAGGCCCAATCTGTAACTTTACTTTCCAGACATGCACAGAGGGGTAGCACTTTTTACTGAAAATTAAAGTTAGAGTAGAATTTCATATTCTGTTTTAAATGTTTTGGAATTGTATTGTCCTGCTGACAAACTACCACAGGGACCTATGTTTGTTTGTCCTAAACTATACTGTATGTCATACTAGAGTAACCTATATTTCTCTATACTCCCATCCCCATCTGTGTTCTCAGAGTGATATATTTTTGTGCTTTGAACCCTCCCTCTGTCCCCCTTGTCCAATCAGGAAATGGCGTTGGTGACATGTGCGAGAATGACTTTGACAATGACTCAGTGATAGACTTGATTGACGTGTGTCCAGAGAGCGCTGAGGTCACAATGACCGACTTCAGAGCCTATCAGACGGTCATCCTGGACCAGGAGGGCGAAGCCCAAATCAACCCCAACTGGATAGTGCTCAATCGGGTGACCATTTGAAATATTCCCAGATAGAAAACAAACATGATATTGTATGTACTTTAATTAATTTAGCATTTTTCTGGAATTTTGTTTTAGGGTATGGAAATTGTTCAAACCATGAACAGTGACCCTGGTTTGGCCATAGGTAAGTCCGTAAACATCTTGTGCCGTTCTGTGTATCTTTCTGTGTGTCTTTCTTTCTCATCTCCTTCCTCCCCGTCTTTATCCCACTTTCTCTCCGTTTTAAATGAAGATGTCTCAATAAAGAGCATGACAAGTCAAGTATCTCTTTCTCTCTCTCTCTCTCTTCTCTCTCTCTCTCCCTTCTCCCGATCCCCACAAGGCTATACAGCCTTTAACGGGGTAGACTTTGAGGGGACGTTCCACATCAACACGGCCACGGACGATGACTATGTGGGCTTCGTCTTCGGCTACCAGGACTCGTCCAGCTTCTACGTGGTCATGTGGAAACAGATGGAGCAGACCTACTGGCAGTCACTGCCTTTTAGGGCCATGGCCCAGCCAGGCCTGCAACTGAAGGTGGGGCACACAGAAAACTGCATCTGTTGGCTTTAAAGGGACATTACACTCCAACATCAGAAGTGTGTCAGATGTTTTTATACCTATGTCAATAGGAGTACACATCCCATGCCATCATCCTGTTATGTAGTTCCAGCTACATGCCTGAACTTCCAATGTAATAGATATTAGATTACCACAGTCACACACTTGACTTTACTCCCTTTTCTCTACAGGCAGTGAAGTCACGTACGGGTCCCGGTGAGTACCTCCGTAACGCCCTGTGGCACACGGGCGACACCCCGGGCGAGGTCACCCTGCTGTGGAAGGATCCCCGGAATGTGGGCTGGAGGGACAAGACATCCTACCGCTGGCACCTCAGCCACCGCCCGCAGGTGGGCTACATCAGGTGAGCAAAACTTCAAAGGGCATTACAGCCACAAATGCTCTACTCCTAGCTGTATTTTCCTGCCAATTCACTTTGCCATCACAAACTTTCCTCACTGTTTAATTGAGCTGTTTACTGTATAGAGATAGATCTATAGCAATTCATGGCTATCTGTATATAATTGAGATAATACATGGAATGTACAAAGCATTAGGAACACTATCCTAATATTGAGTTGCGCCCCCTTTTCCCCTCAGAACAGCCTCTATTCGTCGGGGCATGGACTCTACAAGGTGTCAAAAGCGTTCCACAGGGATGCTGGCCCCTGTTAACTCCAATGCTTCCCACAGTTGTGTCAAGTTGGCTGGATCTCTACTCCGAATAGCTCGTTCCATCTCATCCCACAGATGCTCAATTGGATTGAGATCTGGTGACTGGGCAGGCCACGACAGTGAATTCACTGTCATGTTTGTGGAACAATTCCTGGACAATTCTATCCTGGCATGGGACATTATCCTGCTGAAGAAATCCATTCGCAGATAGATACTCTGCTGCCATGAAGGGATGCACCTGATTGGCAATAATGTTCAGATATCCTGTGGCATTCAAACGTTGCTCCACTTTTATCAAGGGGCCCAATGTGTGCCATGAAAACACACCCCACACCATCACACTACCACCACCAGCCTGCAATGTTGACACGCGGCATGATGGATGCATGTTCTGGTTTTCTCCATACCCTAGTCCTCCCATCAGCGTGAAACAGCAGGTACCGGGATTCTCCAGTGTCCAGTGTTTTCGGTCCTTAGCCCACTGCAACCGCAGTTTCTTGTTTTTTTCTGAACGAAGTGGAACTCTGTAAGGTTGTCGTCTGCCATCCCCCATTTGTGTCAAGGTACGAAGAGTTGTGCATTCTTTTATGGGTCTTTGGGCACCAACGTTATACTGGACTGTCAGTTGACTAACTGTAGCCCGTCTGTTGCGCTGCATAATTTGCGTCAGCCTCCTTTGTCCTCTTTAATCAATGACCTGTTTTCAACCACTGGCCTGTCGTTGGCTGGATGTCCTTTGGGTGGTGAACCATCCTTGATACACACAGTAAACAGTTGAGCGTGAAAAACCCAGCAGTGTTGCAGTTCCTGACATACTCAAACCTGTGCGCCTGGCACCTACTACCATACCCAATTCAAAGGCACTTAAATATTTTGTCTTGACCATTCACCCTCTAACAGATTACATCAATAAGGGATCATAGCTTTCACCTAGATTCACCTGGTCAGTCTATATCATGGAAAGAGCAGGTGTTTTGTACACTCAGTGTATAGAGAGATCTGTATGGCTCTTCATTGTGTATACCTATTTCACAGGGTGAGGCTGTATGAAGGCATGACATTGGTGGCAGACTCTGGCGTGGTGGTGGACACCTCAATGAGGGGCGGGAGGCTGGGCGTCTTCTGCTTCTCCCAGGAGCAAATCATCTGGTCCAACCTGGGCTATCGCTGCAACGGTACATCAACACTCTCAGAAGATAATTTTCTTGAATTGGAATTTAACCTCTTGAATTGATCAAATTTAAATGGTTATGGCTTCCTGGTTATGTTATAATATTTATTTATATATTTTTCCATCAGATACGGTACCAGAGGACTATGAGTTCTACCGCAAGCAGATCCACGTCAGGGTGTGACTGTGAGCCTAGCATAGCATCTGTGCAGATACACAACATCACCTGTGCCTTCGCTGTATCGTGTGTGTTGTGTGTGTGTATGTGTGTGTGTGTGTATATGGTTGTGTGTGTGTTTGTACATATATGCATGTGTGTGTTTTTAAGGTACATTTACTTTAATGTGGCACTCTTTCTGTCTTTAGCCCCCACAATGACCTTACACCTGACTGCAGGTTGGTCAAGTCAAGAGTTAAAGATTGATTGACAAAATAATAGCTTTTATTATTATTATTATTATTATTATTATTATTATATAAAATGATGAATGAAAGCTACTTTTGAGAAATCAGGATCGTGAAATCCTAAGGTACAGGACTATGTGTATAAGGGAGAATTGAATACATATGCTGGAAAAGTGTAAAAAGCCTACTCTTAGACTTAAACTGAGCATCATAAAGGTTTCAGACTCACAGTTGATGTCACATTATACACCACTGAATCGACTATTCAATTCTACAATATTTGTCATGATGACGGGTTAACTTAACCCAAGGCTGGGTTTATAAGGAATTCTATAATTGTTATTTTTATGAGGATCATCGAGGCAGACCTATGTGGAAGCCTGTGAGAAACACATTTCACGGTAATAAACATCAAAATCTTGATCCACCATCGTTTTTACTGAGTATTTGCATGTAAACCATAATAGTAGATCTCGCCAAACCAACATATGCATATGGTTCATTGGCTACGTTTACACAGGCAGCCTAAATCTGATCTTTTTTTCACTAATTGGTATTTTGAGTGACTAAATCTGATGTGATTGGTCAAAAGACCAATTAGTGGAAAAAAAATCTGTCTAAATGCAGCCACTATAGCCCAGTTTATACCTGGTCCTTTGTACTGATCTTATCCACATTTTAAGACAGGAGTAGATTATTAAAATATGCAAGCCACACTGCTTCTTAACATACTGCTCGCTTAACCTGGAAGTCAGCCTTATCAATGTGTCGTAGGAAACACTGTTCTATCGACAAGCGAAGTCAGCTTGCAGGCGCCGGCCCGCCACAAGGAGTTGCTATTGCGTAATGAGCAAAAACTCAAACAGGAAGAGTCAGTGACGAACTCAATACAGAAGTGGTCCGATGAAGCGGATGCTAAGCTACAGGACTGTTTCGCTAGCACAGACTGGAATATGTTCCAGGATTCATCTGATGGCATTGAGGAGTTTACCACATCAGGACACCAGCTTCATTAATAAGCACATCGACCACGTCGTCCCCACAGTGACCGTATGTACATCTTTTTTATTTCACCTTTATTTAACCAGGTAAGCCAGTTGAGAACAAGTTCTCATTTACAACTGCGACCTGGCCAAGATAAAGCAAAGCAGTGCGATAAAAACAACAATACAGAGTTACACATGGGGTAAACAAATCATAAAGTCAAAAATACAACAGAAAATATATATACAGTGTGTGCGAATGTAGTAAGTTATGGAGGTTAGGCAATAAATACGCCATAGTGCAAAATAGTTACAATTTCGTATTAACACTGGAATGATAGATGTGCAAAAGATGATGTGCAAATCAAATCAAATCAAATCAAATCAAATTTTATTGGTCACATGCGCCGAATACAACAGGTGCAGACATTACAGTGAAATGCTTACTTACAGCCCTTAACCAACAGTGCATTTATTTTAAACAAAAAAGTAAGAATAAAACAACAACAAAAAAGTGTTGAGAAAAAAAGAGCAGAAGTAAAAAATAAAGTGACAGTAGGGAGGCTATATATACAATAGAATAAAGTGACAGTAGGGAGGCTATATATACAGGGGGGTACCGTTAGAGTTACTGGGGTGCAAATTAGCAACAATATGGGGATGAGGTAGTTTGGTGGGCTAATTTCAGAATGGCTGTGTACAGGTGCAGTGATCGGTAAGCTGCTCTGACAACTGACGCTTAAAGTTAGTGAGGGAGATAAGAGTCTCCAGCTTCAGAGATTTTTGCAGTTCGTTCCAGTCATTGGCAGCAGAGAACTGGAAGGAATGGCAGCCAAAGGAGGTGTTGGCTTTGGGGATGACCAGTGAGATATACCTGCTGGAGCGCAGACTACGGGTGGGTGTTGCTATGGTGACCAGTGAGCTAAGATAAGACTGGGATTTGCCTAGCAGTGATTTATAGATGACCTGGAGCCAGTGGGTTTGGCGACGAATATGTAGTGAGGACCAGCCAACAAGAGCGTACAGGTCACAATGGTGGGTAGTATATGTGGCTTTGGTGACAAAACGGATGGCACTGTGATAGACTACATCCAATTTGCTGAGTAGAGTGTTGGTGGCTATTTTGTAAATAACATCGCCGAAGTCAAGGATCGGTAGGATAGTCAGTTTTACGAGGGCATGTTTGGCAGCATGAGTGAAGGAGGCTTTGTTGCGAAATAGGAAGCCGATTCTAGATTTAACTTTTGATCGGAGATGCTTAATGTGAGTCTGGAAGGAGAGTTTACAGTCTAACCAGACACCAAGGTATTTGTAGTTGTCCACATACTCTAGGTCAGACCTGCCGAGAGTAGTGATTCTAGTCGGGTGGGCGGGTGCAAGAAGCGTTCGGTTGAAGAGCATGCATTTAGTTTTACTAGTGTTTAAGAGCAGTTACGGAAGGAGTGTTGTATGGCGTTGAAGCTCGTTTGGAGGTTTGTTAACACAGTGTCCAATGAAGGGCCAGATGTATACAAAATGGTGTCGTCCGCATGGAGGTGGATCCGAGCGTCACCAGCAGCAAGAGTGACATCATTGATATACACAGAGAATAGAGTCGGCCCGAGAATTGAACCCTGTGGCACCCCAATAGAGAAGCCAGAGGTCCAGACAACAGGCCCTCCGATTTGACACATTGAACTCTATCTGAGAAGTAGTTGGTGGACCAGGCGAGGCAGTCATTAGAGAAACCAAGGCTATTTAGTCTGCCAATAAGAATGCGGTGGTTGACAGAGTCGAAAGACTTGGCCAGGTCGATGAAGACGGCTGCGCAGTACTGTCTTTTATCGATCACGGTTATAATATTGTTTAGGACCTTGAGCGTGGCTGAGGTGCACCCATGACCAGCTCGGAAACCGGATTGCATAGCGGAGAAGGTACGGTGGGATTCAAAATGGTTGGTGATCTGTTTGTTAACTTGGCTTTCAAATACTTTTGAAAGGCAGGGCAAGATGGATATAGGTCTGTAACAGTTTGGATCTAGAGTGTCACCCCCTTTGAAGAGGGGGATGACCGCGGCAGCTTTCCAATCTCTTGGGATCTCAGACGTTACGAAAGAGAGGTTGAACAGGCTAGTAATAGGGGTTGCGACAATTTCGGCGGCTAAATTTAGAAAGAAAGGGTCCAGATTGTCTAGCCCAGCTGATTTGTAGGGGTCCAGATTTTTCATCTCTTTCAGAACATCAGCTGTCTGAATTTGTGTGAAGGAGAAGCGGGGGGGGCATGGGCAAGTTGCAGCGGAGGGTGAAGAGCTGGTGGCCGGGGTTGTGGTAGCCAGGTGGAAAGCATGGCCAGCCGTAGCAAAATGCTTGTTGAAATTCTCGATTATTGTAGATTTATCTGTGGTGACAGTGTTTCCTAGCCTCAGTGCAGTGGGCAGTTGGGAGGAGGTGCTCTTATTCTCCATGGACTTTACAGTGTCCCAAAGCTTTTTGGAGTTAGTGCTACAGGATGCAAATGTCTGTTTGAAAAAGCTAGCCTTTGCTTTCCTAACTGATTGTGTATATTGGTTCCTGACTTCGCTAAAAAGTTGCATATCGCGCGGGCTGTTCGATGCTAATGCAGTACGCCACAGGATGTTTTTGTGCTGGTTAAGGGCAATCAAGTCTGAGGAGAACCAGGGGCTATATCTGTTCTTAGTTCTGCATTTTTTGAATGGGGCATGCTTATTTAAGATTGAGAGGAAAGCACTTTTAAAGAACAACCAGGCATCCTCTACTGACGGAATGAGGTCAATATCCATCCAAGATACCCGGGCCAGGTCAATTAGAAAGGCCTGCTCGCTAAAGTGTTTTAGGGAGCGTTTGACAGTGATGAGGGGTGGTCGTTTGACCGCGGACCCATTACGGACGCAGGCAATAAGGCAGTGATCGCTGTGATCCTGGTTTAAGACAGCGGAGGTGTATTTAGAGGGTAAATTTGGCAGGATGATATCTATGAGGGTGCCCATGTTTACAGATTTAGGGTTGTACCTGGTAGGTTCGTTGATAATTTGTGTGAGATTGAGGGCATCTAGTTTAGATTGTAGGTTGGCCGGGGTGTTAAGCATATCCCAGTTTAGGTCACCAAGCAGTATGAACTCTGAGGATAGATGGGGGGCGATCAGATCACATATGGTGTCCAGGGCACAGCTCGGGGCTGAGGGGGGTCTGTAGCAAGCGGCAACAGTGAGAGACTTATTTCTGGAAAGGTGGATTTTTTGAAGTAGAAGCTCAAACTGTTTGGGTACAGACCTGGATAGTACGATAGAGCTCTGCAGGCTATCTCTACAGTAGATTGCAACCCCACCCCCTTTGGCAGTTCTATCGAGACGGAAAATGTTGCAGTTGGGGATGGACATTTCTGAATTTTTGGTGGCCTAAGCCAGGATTCAGACACTGCTAGAACATCAGGGTTGGCGGAGTGTGCTAACGCAGTGAATAACTCAAACTTAGGGAGGAGGCTTCGGATGTTAACGTGCAAGAAGCCAAGGCTTTTACGGTTGCATATGCCAACCAGAAGCCATGGATTACAGACAACATCCGCACTGAGCTAAAGGCTAGAGCTGCCGCTTTCAAGGAGCAGGACACTAATCCAGATGCTTATAAGAAATCGCGCTACACCCTCCTACGAACCATCGAACTGGCAAAGCGTCAATACAGGACTAAGATCAAATCCTACTACACCGGCTCTGATGCTTGTCGGATGTGTCAGGGCTTGCAAACTATCACAGATTACAAAGGGAAACCCAGCCATGAGCTGCCCAGTGACGCGAGCCTACCAGAAGAGCTAAATGCCTTCTATGTTCGCTTTGAGGCAAGCAACACTGAACCATGCATGAGAGCCCCAGCTGTTCCAGATGACTGTGTGATCATGCTCTCCGTAGCTGATGTGAGTAAGACCTTTAAACAGGTTAACATTCA